GTGATATCCATATTTAACATAACATAACATCACGCCTTTTTCCCCGAAGGAGTAAGCAGAGATGCACATTACGGCACTTAATGCCACTGTACAATGTAATATCCACAGTTTTACTATTTATGTTATAAGTCCCATGTAATAGGGGGTGAGTTTATTGCTATATACCGGGCACACTTCCAGACTCTTGAAAAAACCCAGTAATACTTTGCCCAACCCGGGAATGGAACCCGAGACTCTTTGCCAGGCGATCGCACTTGCGACCACTCGGCCAACGAGGCAGTAAAATGATATCCATATTCTTTGTTTTTATTTGCTTACTTAGAATTGGTAACTTCATATCAATAAGCTGCCAATTAAATATTTGATACAATTAGAGCTGGTTTCAAAGCTAGGGGATATGGGCAGCGCGGCTGAAGCGCGGGCTTCAACAATAGAGGCATCAGGCAACAATCCAATAGAGGAGTTAATCGAGTGGCCACAACTAGAAGTATTAAATTAGGAATCTTGCCCTAAATGAAATTGAAATTCAATACAATATTTGCGCACAAAGATCAGATTAGGTGCGGTCTTCAGTTACTTAAGGTTTAGATTAAAATAAAAGTGTATCTCATAGATCATAATTTCTAGCGATAAAGTCCTCTACTGGGACCTCTACCTCTATGACAGTCGCGTCGCAATAAAACGATGCTAGAGCTCTCATCATCTCCAAGCGCGAGGCATTCAGCAGCGCTGCCCAATCCTCTAGCTCTGAAACCAGCCTAAATGAAAGAAGTTTTGAACATATATACTTAATAAAACCATTCTAGTAATAAGATATATTCTTATTATCTTTTCTAATTACGGACGCCCAATAGCTATACGTGGACGTTCAATAGCTATATACGGACGCCCAATAGCTATATACGGACGTTCAATAGCTATATACGGACGCCAATAGCTATATACGAACGTTCAACAGCAATATACTGACGATCAATAGCTAGGTGATCTAACATGATACCTTTTTTTGAGGGATAAAAAATCATCCAATGCCTTTTGCCGCCGGCCGCCGGCGGCCGCGCTGGTGAGGCAAGTGGAAGTTTCAGAGGAAGTTTCTCTTACTGACTTTTTTTTTAAGCGGGGAAAATCATCGATTGACTGCTCCCGCCTGGGTAAGGCGGGAGGGAGTGTCACTCTTACTGACTAAAAACCACCCCGTTCCTTCTCCTGCACGTCCAGCCGGAGCCCCGGTTACCCGTTAGGTTCTCCGCGACTCCGACTCGGCATCGGCCCTGTTGGGCCCCATCTGTGGTGGTTTTATGGCTCTTTGAGGCGCCGCGGAACGCGACGCGCCGCACGTTCAGGTCTGTTTCTGGTCGGACGGGGAGCCACCCATGCTCGCCGTCCGCAGGCCCGCGCTTACGGTGGCCGGAGATCTTCCCGCGATCCCCGACGCCCGGTGTGTCCTTCGCGATGGCTGGGTTGCGAGGAGGCAGCGCTTCGCTGCCTCATGCGTCCCGCCTCCTCCTTAGCTAGTTGACTGCTTCGCAAAAGGAGGAGACGCATCCCAGTCCCCCTCGCTCCGCATCATGGCTGCACTAGGCCCGGACGCGAGAGGTCGCCATCGCCGATCACTTCCCTGAGGGTACGGCGGTGCTCAGCCCACGCAATGCATTCCGCTATAGTGTGTTCCACCGTGTCCTCAGGGCGGTCCTCACAGTGATGACACCCGGACGTTTCCTCCCGCCCATCAGACACAGGTACCTTCCGACTCTTACTGACTTAAAACCACCCCGTTCCTATTCCTGCACTTCGAGTCGGAGCCCCGGTCACCCTTTAAGTCCTCTGTGGCTCCGTATGGGCATCAGCTCCACCGTGGTGGTGATGGCTCCTTGGGGCGTATGCGGAACGCGACGCGCCGTACGTTCGGGTCTGGTTCTGATCGGGCGGCAAGTCATCCGTGCTCGCCGACCGCAGGCCCGTGCTTACGGTGGACGGAGACCGTTTCGCGATCCCCGACGCCTGGAGTGTCTCTCGTGACGGCTGGAGCGTGAGGAGGCTCGTTCCCTCACGAGCTCTGCCTCCTCCTTAGCTAGCAGGACTGCTTCGCAGAAGGAGGAGACGGCATCCCTGTCTCCCTCACTCTGTACCATGGTCTGAACCAGTGTCGGACGCGAGAGGTCGCTGTCGCCGATCACATTCCTGAGGACACGACGGTGTTCAGCCCACAGGGCACACTGCCACCGTATGCTCCACCGTGTCCCCCGGGTGGCCTCGCCATGATGACACCGAGCGTTTCCTCCCGCCCAATCCGAAGCAGGAACCTACCGAAAATTCCGTGTCCGGTAAGCACCTGCGTCAGGCGGTAGATAAGGACGCCGTAGCGTCTCTGTCTCTCAAGCCACTCCTCAAATCTAACATGACACCTGCTGAGGAAGTACGTGGATGTTCAATAGCTATATACGGCTAGCTATATACGGACGCCCAATAGCTATATATGGACGTTCAATAGCTATATACGGACGCCCAATAGCTATATACGGACGTTCGATAGCTAAGTGATACATGATACCTGCTGAGGAAGAAACTTTCTTCGCGCGCATGGCCATCGTCAGGCTCCGCAAGAGACCCCTGCCATTACCATGTCAATTGTCAGGATCCGCAATCAACGGACCTCCCATTTCCGTGTGTGAGCAGTATAGTGATGTAGCTTTTTACTTGATGACCATAGCGTTTGGGTCAACTGAAATTTGCATGACCATTTTTGAATTCCTAACGTAGCCCAGTAGATGGTGCTAGTCCAGCAGTGGACTTAAATAGGCTGATGATGATTAATAACTATATACGGACGCCCAATAACTAGATGATCTTTCACAGTTATAGATGATCTTACATGATGACCGCTGGGGAAGAAACTTTCACGTATTTTACTCTTGCTTGTTTGAAATAAAAATTGAGTTCTGTGTTTCTTTCTTTAGATAAATTTGTAAAACCAGTACGCCGCGCCGATCACATACGGGCTGAACCGATTTGTATTTATGTATGGAATAGACTAGGCAAACATTTAAAAAATATGTTATTCCTACTGCGGCATCTTCTCATGTAAAAATCTCATAGAAACCTCAATTTTTTGCATCTTGTTACCAATATTATACCAATATCGGGCATTAGTATATGTATTGATAGATTTTACGAATATTGTAATACTGTTAAAACTCTGTCCCAGACGAGTGACAAGAGAGAGGAAAAGAAAGAGACAAGTGAACCCAAAGCTGGCAACGTTGCACTCGCAAATACCATCCACGCTGTGAGGACGTTAATTAGCCGAAGCCATGGTTAAATCACGATCAATATATCTAGGAGCCCAATTAGTTATCACGATGGTTTGGGGTTCAAAAATGTAGCAGCATGACTGCAAGAAGAATATCGCGAAAAATAAAATTATCGGAAAATGACGTATCCTACAAAGCTGGAAATCGAATAACTAAGCAATATTCATCAAGACATATTAAAAATGTTAAGGGGAACTGGGGGACGTCATAATGATGCGCGACATGTGTGACGCCAAAACGGTTCTAGGATGTAAATATATATATATATATATATATATATATATATATATCCCCTTAAGTAATAGAGTCTTTCAAAATTCTTATTCACGATCCCATGTTGGAGTAATTATTATGTTTTCGGCTTACTCACGTCAGTCGCCGCGTCGCAGGTCGCGAAATGCTGCTTATGAATATGAGCCTCTAGCATGGCTTGAAACTAGTCGAGTTCCTCGTCGAAAAATTACGTGAGTAAGCCGAAAACATGATAATTAATTTAGTATGTCTCACGAAATTTATAATACAAACCCATGTTTGAGTCTTGTAACCTTTGCTTATCCTTATTTTGAGTAACACACGTGATGTTGTTTGCATTAACTTAAAATATGACTACCAAAACATAATATATCATAATGTTATCTGTATTGTAATGCTTTGATCACGATCGTTACCTTCGAGTCATACTAACGAAATACTGACTCTGTTTTTATAGTGTTTTTTCTTTATAAGTTTTCTTCTCTTCGTGATCAAACTTGACAGAGATTTATACGTACTTAGTGTTATCATCGTTTAGATGATTAATAACGATGTTAGTGATGATGTTATTGTTAGTAATAACAACACTTTTTTTATCTCTGAAGTGATAGGCTGAGTTCGGTCTTACTTATATATCAAAGGTTTTATTAAATGGCACTCAAAATTTTATATTCAGAGGACTAGCTTTTGAAATGGAAATATTATGACTGTGCGTAGGATAAATAAGAGTTAGTGAAGACAGAACACATATTGAAAAAGGATAAAAATGGTTACGGGATGTTAAGAAAGAGGCAAAACAGGCATATGGTGTTATATATTACCTGATAGAGGAGAATAGGAGAATGAGACGTATAAATTCGAGACAGAGAATGAGAGTAGAAGATGAAAAAGAAGAAGGATTTATGCATAATGTGCTCAACAATATGTTAAGACAAGTTCTAAGAAATGTTCATTATTTTAACATTTACGTTAGTCATACTATTATTGGGTTTTGTAACCGACTTCATTTAGTTATGGATCGATTATAAGTATTTAATGTCGACGCCTTATCAATCGTGACTAAACTGTTGCTATAAAAGTGGGTTTTAAATGAGCCTGACCAAATACCTCCGTAAACTTCTTTAGCAGAATAGAGTCAATATAGAACATTGGTTACAATTATTCAAAAATAAAAAAACAACTTTTATTAGAAATTATATGAGCGATAAATAGACCTATGCAATAAGTCGCATACATCAATCACGATCACGAAGATCAATATGACATAAGTGTTTTACTTAACTACGAATCATACACAAAACATTACGTTATAATGTGTACCTAGGTACTTATTAGACAACCAACAGAGTTATCTTACGGTACCTAAACCAAACCCAAACCCTTTAATCTTTATTAACTCCTTCACGAACTTACTCTTACTGACAACCTTCTTTGCAGGCCAACCCCAACGTGAACCACTTCGCCGACACAGTCCAACAGCCAGGCAGAAATGGATTCTACTCCGTCTCCAGCAATTCATTCTCTTCCTCATCAAACGTTAATGGAAAGACCTTGAACTCAAGAGGAGCAGAAACTCTTGTCAACGACAACGGAAGAATAACCCACTACAAAGTAGAAAACTAAAAGAAAATAAACCGATCTTCCTAATAGCCTCTTATTCTAAAACACAGATCTCATAATACCCTAAATTAAGGATATTGAAAAAACTACTGCTATTATGAACCTTATATTTGGTAGCGTAGAGGCGAAAAAATTCTGTTGATAATACTATTAGTTGGTCTGTTAAGAAATTTATTTATAATTGAGATGTATCAATAAAATGATTATACGGTTATTGTTGCCTCATTTACACTGTGAGAAAAAAAAGATGAAAAAACAGCGTAAAAATATTTGGACGTTTAATTTTTTGTACTTGGATATGAATCAATCAAGATGATGAGATCTTTAGGTCTGTATACGTAGATAGATCCACTTCATCCAGTCCCAAAAGACTTTAGTCATCGTCACTTAGATGAGATTAAAAATGTCGACCTCGCAAAGTTCAAATCACTGTATGAGTTAATTATTTCGGCGAATGTTTAGGAAATTAAAAAGTGCTAAAACAAACTGTAATTAAAATCAAGCACAACACATTCGGAATGTAACTTTGATGATATCAGCGCTAGTCTAGTTTTTGTGCTAACAATAGAAGTTCGTCCACCTCGCAGACAGAAGCCAGTAATTAACTACATACATAATGAAAATACTTTTTGTAGCACTTAATAATGAAGACAACACACCTATTGATGAAGGAAAGATATGGGTAATAACATCAGACGCAAACATTAGCGAATACTTGGAAACGTGAGCACAATTACGAACGTCTTATACTTTTCAACCTCTGAGCAACATCTCAAGGTCAGTCAGATAACATCACCATTTTTTCTACTCACGGATACGATACGGGATGAACAAAAACAATGACCACAAAACAAATTAGTTTAATTTCGCCAATTTGCCGTCCAATTTCATTTTAGGAGTTGTTGTCTCGTAAACCCAGTGGTTTCTTTGTTGCGCGGTTGGGGGACAGCCTATGTAGCCTTGTCCACTTAATTCCCTACATCTTTTACAGTAGAATTCTTTCATTCCGTCGTCTGATATTCTTCTATGGAACTTGCCAGGCGTTTGATAGGCTGGCTTACTAATTCTCCAGCCTGTGTTGTATTCTGTATTTATTGGCACCTGTTGGGTCATCAAGTTGATGTTATTGAATAGGCTTGATGGTTTCCATTGTGACGGATTTGTTACGAAGTTAGGGTATATGTCATAATCATCCCTTACATTTCTATTTATGAATGCAGAGTCTGGATAGAATGAACCTCTGGTTCTTGTGTCCGGTGTTCTAATTTGTGTAGTTTCAACAGATTTATAGCCGTTTAAAACAGGAACTTCTCCACTATCTTCTTTGGCTTCTTTCCTACCTATATTGTAGGTAAGGGTTCCAGAATTATCTGCAAGAAGAATTTTATATCATGTCGTTTATTAATTTTATGGAAATGCGGTGCAAAATGTTTAGTTTGTCCAGTCTTAGAAAATTGACAAATCTATCTATGCATATTTTCGGAGTCGCGGAGAACCTAACGGGTAACCGGGACTCCGGCTCGACGTGCAGGAGAAGGAACGGGGTGGTTTTTAGTCAGTAAGAGTCTGACACTCCCTTCCGCCTAACCCAGGCGGGAGCAGTCATTCGATGATTTTGCCCCCTTAAAAAAAAAAAATCTATGCATATTGACTCTCAAGCCACTGGGAAGCTTAGGATTAAGAATGAGAGTAAGATCATGGTCAAACACAAAATTACACAAACAATCTATACAAGTAATATTTAACTTGTTTATAATATTAGACGACTTAACTATTATTATAAAACCAGAGTGTCGACCTTGTCCAGCCACCGATAACACCACTAAATCTATTTGTTTATCGCACTATAGTACAGAAACATTTAAAGATTTTCTGTTAGTGGGGGATTTTATTGTCCTTGTTATCTTATGGAACATCTTCAAGTTGTCGGTGATCAGCCAGCTGGAAAATTGGACTTGCGTCCATTGCCCCATTTGAATGCACTATGTTTTTTAAAACTTCTTCAATGTTTTTAATATTTGTGGAATAATTCAGATTGTGTACGTGATACTAAAATGTATTTAATTGATATTTAGAGATCCTTCTTTAGAGATTTATTGAGATCCTTCGATTGATGACTGCCTCGTTGATCAAGTGGTTGCAAGTGCGACTGCCGGGGCAGGGTCTTGGATTCGATTCCCAGGTCGGGTAAATATTACTAGGTTTTAAAAAAAAATCTCAATTTATTACATAAATAGTGGAAAGCGGGTGTTACATTATACAGTGGCATAATTACCATAATGTGCACCTCCGCCTACCCCTTCAGGAAAAGGCGTGATGTTATGTTTTAAGATCCTAATTTGTAGGTTTGGTATTTTTTTTTATAATGTTCGGTTTATGCTTACCATCATTAGAACTATGTAGTCCTCTTCTGTTATTATTATTCTTAAGTTTAGTTGACAGGACAATGGTATGTTGAACTTCTACATCTTCATCTTCTATTTTAGTAGAATTCGTTAGAGACACCACTTCATCCCCTCCAAAATCCATCTTCGTTGAAACAGCATCGCTCCAACCAGTTAACGCTGAAATATTTATTAATCATATTATTATAAGCATAAAGAATTGTGTTAATCAAAATTCCTGATATGCTTTTTATCTTTAATCCTTAATAAGAAATAAAATCGAATCGTATTATTGAACGTGAAATTACACATAAGTATGTGAATGCATGTGATCCAAACCCTTAATGCCTTATTACCATAATTAACTAAAAAAAAAATTAAAAACAGAGAGAAAATGTTAAAATGTCTTTAAGAAGTTAAAATGTATTTAAAATTAAATACAGACTTAAATACAAGGCATAGGCAAACTTATTACTAGAAGCATAAGGCATAAACCAGATTGCTTCGTTACTCTGATCTGGACTTATATTTAGGAAAATTATAGCAAAGTCATTTTGTATATTCGTTTATCCCTTTCAATGCCAGTGAGCTTTGTGATCATTTTGCTGTTCAAGGGTACGTCCAAATTCAATGTCGACTTTCTTTATACTCGTAAATACATTTATTTCATGTTCATTCTTAGCAAGTTCTATTTCTTTGGTGTCATGTTGAGATATCCCCTTTTTGGGTATGGTGTTCTGATGGAATTTGTTCTTAGTTTTGTATTTCGTTTGTTATATTTCTGCATGCCAATGTAGCTATTGAAGTTAGTTTCGTTTGGGAAATATTCGAGTGATGAATGATGATGATGGTGATGATGATGATGATGATGAGGATGATGTAAAAAATCCCTTACAATTCATAGTTAGGTACACCTAATTTTTTTAGGGATTTTTATTTTTTTAGTTACTTATGAATAGACACTTATGTGTCTTCTTTTCAAGTATAGTGCCCGAATGACAAATATAGTAATTAGATATGTAGCCAGGTCCAAAATATTTATTAGCAACTACATTGGTAATATGATAACACAGCGTCCATGAACATCAGATAAATGACGTATTATAATTTACAAAGTAACAGACATGAACATTGATCCCAGTCAAGGAAAATAAAGAACTTTAGTTCCTATACTTATAGAAATCTAATTACTATGACGTTAGTCTCATGAAGGACGTACCTACCTCAGCAATGAATGTTAAAATTATATATAAAAAAGGGTTTTTAGACATGTCAGTCAAAAGTCAGTCTTACAGATAACAAGGATATTATGACGCAATAAAAATAGCAGTAACAGGCCATACATTAATGATTTGTATAAGGAAAGCCCTGTAATCAGCTAAGTACCGAAGTACGATTCAAAACCAAAGACATACCTTGGTTAGGGTGAGGCAAGGATTTTTATGCGGTATCCGTACACTCTGACCCACAAATCATAAGTGCATTGTCATTGCCGTCCTTTTGGGTATATCTAAGCTTTAAGGTACACTAAGATAATTGATATCAATTTTGGGAGGCTGTGGCGGGCTTGTCCCAATTAAAAAAAAAGGATAAACACTCGAATAGACGTAAGCAAATATATATCTTACCGCAAACACTCAAGAAGAAATACAGGAGCGCCGTCATTGTATCACAGTGCACAAACAATATGGCATCCTTCGCGTGTTACAACGTTTTATATAAACTATACAAAATTACTCTAAATGATGTCGCAGAGGAAGTTGGACAATTACCTCGTATGTCGATGCTATAAGAAATCTTAGACACCTTCGGTAACGATGGTAGGTAAGTAGTGTTTTGTCGCGTCATGGTTTAAACTCATGCGCACGTTGGCAATTAAACAACGGTAGGCAAAAACTTTGACCCCTATTATGTCCTGTAGATTCAGAATCGTATCTAGAAGTATTAAAATGGGGGCCAAACGCAGCTTTAAAAATTAGATGTTGACATTGCGTGGACCACCACAACTCCTAGCTAGACCCTGACTATTTATCGCCTGACAGACTTAATTTAATACAGACTGAGAAACCAAATCCTGTGTCATATCGTTAGGATTTTTTATGACTTTATTCGAATAAAAATGAAAAAGAAATGTTTAAGAAGAGACGAGTGGAAGGAGGGTAGGGAAGTCTTTGCCCTGCAGTGAGACGACCATGGCTAAAAATAAAATAAATAAGTAAATAATATTCAAATGGGAATATAGACTGACATCACATAGCCTACTTAACATAATTATGCTGATTTCATTAAGGCAAGCCTTTCGGTTTTCTACCGATGAGTGTGCGGGGAAATTGCACTAAACTTGATTCCCCCTAGTCCTTTCCATCATCGTACCACAAGAGAATCGGTGAAGCGTCACCAATTCATGGTGGATGTTCCACCCACACGCACGAAGCGCTTCGCATCCAAGCTTCCTTGTGCGTACTGCTAAGGAGTGGAATTCTTTGCCAGAGTATTGTAGGGTATATATAACCGGGGTATCTGAAAGGCCCGAGTGAATAGGTTGCTTATGGACAGACGTACTCCATCGTAGGCCGCATCATCACTTACCACCAGGCAAGATAGTGGACAAACGTCGGTCCATTAAATATAAAAAAAAAATTCGGCATGGATTTTACCTTTTCAAATTTTCATCAGGTGTAAAGTCTAGAATAATACCAATATTATTAAAGTAAGCGTAATAAAGTTTACATCAGTTGAAGAATCATAAATAAACTTACCTATAATTATGCTGCCTGGCACTGTGTTTAGGAAACATTAAGCTAAAATATAGTGCCTAGAACCAACCCAT